CTTTATCTAATCTAGCTAATCTAATCTGTCCCTCTTCTGTCTGTCATTCAGTCTAAACTCTCATCTAGCTAGCTATCACTTAATCTCGCATTTCATCTAATTCATTAATCTAATCCCTATATTCACAGCTAATGTATTCTAATCTAGCTATAGAATTGAAATATCAATCATCTCATATAAACCATTTGTCATAGTCCAGCAATCAGCTCAGCTCAAATACCCAATTCATCAATCACCTTATCGCCCCCATCCCAGGGTTACGCACAGAAAGGCTCATGGGTTAGCGGACAGGGTACTAGGATGGGAATCAGGAGATGCTAATCCCAGTTTCACCATTAATCCGAAGTGGGGCTTTGGGCAAGTGGCTTCACCTCTCTGTTTCTCTGTGTGCCCTGGGTCTCCATAGGTCATTAACCCGTCAGGGCAGGGATTGTCCTTCACTGTGCCACACCCAGACCCCGGGGGTCCCCAGTAACGTGTATGAAGTGCCAAGCACTCGATTACTAAACAGTAGCTTCTTCGCTGTAGGGTTAGACCACCTCCTTTCTTTCTATTTTGGGGATCAGTTTTGGTGGGCTGGACCATCCCTCTCCTGAGACACAGTAAGTAAAACCTCCAAGCCTCGGCCCTGCTGCACACAATTCTGGAGCCCAGCCTCCAGGCCGCCGGGCTCGCGTCAGCGCTTCAGGGGTCTTTATAAACAGGAAACAGGCAGCAGTAAGAGGATAAAAATACATTTGGCGCAAACAGAATGTTTCTGTGTTAGGATTAGGTCTGGCTCATTGGAGCCAGGGAGGGTGGTGGCTGCAGACAGAGGGCAGCAAGGGGGAATCAGGGCCAGAGGCTGAGCTTCTATAGGATCAGGGACGTTTGAGTTCAAGTCCAAGGATGTCCCTAAATGACACAGGTGTCTGTGTGCATCAGACCCCGTGGGCGCTCTGCAGGCAGGAGCCGTGTGAATCTGGGGAGAGGGACTGGAGGAAAACTCCGAGGGGCGGAGAAAGAGCAGCTGAGGAGGTAGCACTGTGTTACATTTACAAGGCTAGACCCTCGGAGTCCTAATTCCAAGCCCCCGCTCCTGTACACACAGACACACACACCCCTGCTCTAACCACTAGACCCCCACGCCCCCCCAAGAGCTGATAACAAAACCCAGGAGTCCTGACTTCTAGCACCCCCCCAACCACACACGCACACACACACACACACACACACCCCTGCTCTATCTACTAGACCCTACTCCCCTCCCAGAGCTGGGAAGGGAACCCAGGAGTCTGGACCCCTCAGCCCGCAGCTCTAACCAGTCCATGGCTCTGCAATGACAGAGGGTGTGATGTATCGCTAGCCCATCCACATGTAGAGAGCTCCCGATGGCAGGCTCCATCTCCACCTGCCGGAGCATCCAGGCGGCTGGGGAGAGACGCCGAGGGTGGATACCATGGGGAGCAGGGCAGGGCGAGTGTCCCGGGTCATCGTAGGAGCCCAGAAGGCTGAGAGAGGCGCAGGAGAGCGAGCAGAGCATTGAAGGGGGCCAGGCCGGGGCAGCCGGGTTGCGGGGCCAGGCAGGAGAATGGGGCAGCCTGTCCTGAATGGCAGCGCCCCTGCCGGCCTCTCCATGGCAGCCGCCCAGAGCCGAATGGCCAGCTAGGGCGGCTGCCTTGTCCATGGGGCGAGTGGGGCTGGGATGGAGGCCCCGGGCCGGAGTTTTCAGCCTCCTGCTGCTGTTGCCACCTCAGTTTCTGCTCCCAGGCCGAACAATGAGCTCCTTTGAGTCCGCCCAGCGGAGACCGGGGCAGCAGACCCGCGGCGTGGCCCACGCACATGACTGCCCCCGAGCCCCGCCAGGCCCCGAAGGAGATTAGCGCGTGTCACCTGACGCTGCGGGAGGCCACGGGCCTGGGAGGGGACGTGCAGGGCAAGAGGAAATCACAGCCTGGGGGGGGACCAGGACTCTGAGACCAGCCTGGGGGAGGGGAGCAGGCAGTGCTGGGACAGGGCTGCTCGGAGAAGGCCTGGCAAACGGGCCGCAGGGCTAGCAGCCAGAGCGTGCCTGGGACAGACGGAGCCCAGTTGGGGCTTGTAGTGGGGGGGATGGGGTAGAGCAGCACCCCCGAGCGGGTCTGATTAGCTCTTCTGGAGCTCAAGCTTGGGCCCTTCTGCAAAGTGCCCCCCCCCCGGTGTGTGATCTGCCCCAGTCCAGCCCCGGGCCCCTCCAGAACGTCCCTGGCGAGGGGGGCACTGAGCGCACCAGCAGGGGCTGACCCGCCCAGCGTGGTGGTGGGGGGGCAATGGACAGCTGTGATGTGAGCAGGTTTGAGTCAGAAGGGACCCCCTAGCACACCCCACATGGGCCATGCCCCTGCCCTGCTAGGGACACATGGGCACCCTTGTCAGGCGAGGCAGGGAGTCGGATCATTTCTCATGCCAGGCCCCAAACCGAGTGCCCACCCACACACCCCCCCCCGAGCTCCAGCCCTGCCAGTGGGTGAGTGCCCAACACCCCAGTGCCAGGTCTCTGGTGCTCCCCCCCCACAGCCCACATCAGGCCTTCCTGAGGGGTGGAGGGTGGGCACGGTGAGCCCCCCCATTGGCTGGCACAGCCGCCATAAGCAAAGGGGCCAGGGGTGCGTAGAGGGGCCAGGCCGGGCGGAGTCACTGATTGTCCCTGTTTCACCCACAGCCCGACTCGAAGAGACAATTCGTTCACAGCTTCCCTGGCACAGCCACTAATTGCTCCTGGGAGTGGGGGCTGCAGCCAGGCAGGGGCTCCACGCGGGCCAGCCAGGAAGGGGGTCGTAGGTGGTCCCAGAGAGCCGGGTGGGTCCATTTCAGAAACCCCCCCCCACCACCACCACCCACACACACACATCAGGTTCCTTCGCCCCCGGGTATGGGGTTAACTCAGCAGCCCTTGGCCTAGCAATCGGGGCTGCGGCAGCTGGAAAAGGCCTTGCTCACTCTCTATTTGCTGTTGCTTTGACCAGTCTCAGGGCTTGGGGCTTCCAGCCCATCCCTCAGGAGCATGCATGGGTGCTCCTGGGTGTGGGCGTACATGGATGTGGGTGTGAGTACGTCTGTGGGGGGATGCGGGCTCTTATATTTATGGCTGGGAGTGCACGTGGGAGTGTGTAGGTGGGTGTGTACTTCTGTGTGTGGTTGTGCAAATGTAAGTGTGCACATGGGTGAGTGTGACCATGGGGAGGTATACGAGTGCACGTGGGGAGGGTGCATGGGGAGTATGCACATGGGGGGGGCAGGTGTGACCCTGGGGTGGGGTGAATGCCCGTGTGGACGGTGGACATGTCACTCCAGTAGCAGTGTCCCCTGCACACGTCTCTTCCCCACACGCTGCCCCAGACCGAGGAAGGCCCCACCCCTCCCGCCACCGCCAACCCCGCCGGGACTCAGAGCCACCGGACAGAGCCAGGCATCAGGGCACCTGGGGCACAAGGCTTTCGTTGGCTGCTAGTGGGGCCTGTCTCCTTCCCTTCCCCTGACTCTCCCAGCCCCACTCCTCTGCACTGGGTCCCCTTTACAAGCTCCCACTCCTGTTGCACTGACCCACGCGCCCCCCACCCTGCAGCCAGGTCAAGGTTGCTGGTCATCAGCAAAGCTGGTAGGGGGAGCCCGGGACTGCAATGGCAGGGGGCTGTGGGTTGGGACTGGTAGAGCTGGGGCAGGGGAGACCCCAGGTGTAGGAGAGCAGGGTGCAGATCAGGACTGAGGGACACCAGCCCTCCCAGCTTAGCTCCCACTCGTTCTCCCGAGAGCCACGTTTATCCCACACGTTTTCTGCCCAGGCCTGGTGGCATTTGGGGTTAAAACTCAGCCCTGCAGGGAAGGGGATGCACATGCAGGTCAGAATCGGGAGGGGGGTCAAGGGGGCTGAGGCCTGGTCTGTCTTGGCTCCTCGTGTGCTGTTGCTCACCTGCAGGAATGTGGCAAGGGGCCCCAGCTGCCCGTAACGCTGGTGGCTTTGCACCAGCCTCGTGCCCAGCAATGGGGGGAAAATGCCAGCACAGCCAGAGCTCTGGAGAGGCTCCAAACCTCCCGCCCAGCACGTCAGGAACTCACCCGGGGCAGAGATTCTGTTGTGGACCCTAATAAATGGGGGGAAGGGGAGACTAGGTCAGGGGGACGCATTCTAAACTGGGGTAATTTACACCCCTCGGGCTAGTCTGCCCCCTCCCCGCCCAGCCTCTGCTGGTCCCCATACGCTGCTCTGGGGTCACAGAGGGGCCGTTATGTTGCAAGGCCCTGGAGATGAATTCCCTAGCACAGGCCCAGCACAGAGCACATGGCATCAGAGATTCTGCACTGGCCCACTCTTCTGGGGAGAGGACAGCTGGTCCAGTGGCTGATTCATTTCCCTGCTTGGCTACACACTCACTGGGGGACCTTTGCCTAACTCCCACTAAAATCAGCCTGACCCAGTCGCTTGGTGCCTCAGTTTCCCCTCTGTGAAACGGGGATATGAGCCCTGCCCTGCCTCCCAGGGGGGTTAAGATAAATACATTAGCAATCATGAGGGGCTCGGATACTGTGGGGAGGGGAGCCAGAAATAGGAGCACAGAAAGCCAGAGACTTCAAGCAGCCCGGGGCTGCTCTGACTTAGCCCAGGGGCAGGTTCAGTCCCCAGAATCCAGAGGGCAATGGAAGTGGCATAAATCTCCTGTGCCCCCTTGCCCTAGCAGCACATCCCAGAATGGAGCTGGCAAAGAGAAGGGTTCCCCAGTGGCTTCCATCCACCTTAGATGGGGGGGGCATGATAGTGGGGGGGAGGGGGTACAGGGTGGCTGCCCTTGCTGGTGAATTCATGCTGGGCTCACGGGCCTGCAGCTGTGTGCTACTTGGGTGGAAGGGGGAAATCAGGCTGCTGGCGTGACACATCATACTGTGTAAAGTGTCATAAATTGTCCCTTGTGCTGGACTCTAGAACCACCCGATCTGGGACGCCCAGAGGTGTAAAAAAGCCCCAGATGGGCACCTGGTGAGAAGTGTTGTAAAATTTTACATCTTAAATCTTTATTCTTCGATTCCCTCCTTCCAGCGTGACTCGAGGGATCTGTCTCTAGATATTTGGAGTAAAGAAAGGGGGTGCCCCAAATACAGGGGAGTCTTGCGGAAAGAGAAAACAGGACGGATGCCGAAGATCGGGGACAGCGCATGTCTCCTAACCATGCTTGCCCGACCCTTTTCAGAGAGCAGGGGTTGCACGTCGGGGCCGTTCCTTCCCAGCAAGGAGCTCAAACGCCACTCGGTCTCCTCCATCCCTGCCCTCCTGGTCCTCACTGGTGTTCGATCCAAGGGAAGCTCTGCTCAGGGCCAGAGAGCCCTGCTCCTCCATTCTGATGCTACTGATCTGGGTAAGGCAGAAGGAGGGGTGGGGGGTGTCTCATGCAGTGATCAGATCCCAGATAGGAAAAGGCATGGGGCTCTTCAGGGATAATTAACCCCCTCAAACCTGCGGCAGGGCCAGGACTCCAAAACATCTCATTGCTCATGGCAGAACAGCTGCATGATGGGAAAGAAACTAAGAGGGCTGTCTGCAGTGGGGATGTGGGGACAGAACCCACAGCAAGCTCCAGAGATGGATCGAAAGTGGCCTCAGCACTTGGAGCAGGAGTCGGGAAGCTGGAGCTGGTCTTTTCCCCACCGCATGGGCTGGGGCTGCCCAGGCTGAAATGGGAGCCATCCCGCATGTCCCGTCTGTAGCATCTGGCGGGGAGGCGGAGGGTGGGCCTAGCCGGGAGCACAGTGCCTGGAAACACCAATGACTTGAGGACTGGCCACGTCCCGCCAGCTCGCCAGCCTCAGTGTGGGCTGGAGCTGAGGCTGCCCAAGTTGTTACACCTCCAGGGGGCAGCGCGGCCCGATCCTACCTCTGGGTCAGAGTCAGGGGTGGCAGCTGGGGCTCAGGTGCGTTGGCTGGTCAGCTCCTGGGAGATGAACTTCCGCAGGCGCTCGAGGTACTGGCTGTACAGTTCAATGTCATTGTGGCCTGCCCCCTCCACCCACAGGGGCTCCACGGCCTTGGGGCAGCGCTCATACAGCGCCAGGCCGTGAGAGAAGTCGATGACTTCATCTTCGGTGCCATGGATGATGAGGACGGGCGAAGTGATCTTGGACACCTTCTCGATGCTGCCGGGAGGAGAGAAGCAAACAACCCCTGAGCAAACGCTGCCCTGCATCGAGCACCTCCAGCCACGAGGGGCGCCCCAGAACACGCTGCAGCCCAGGCCCCACCACTGAAATGCAGCCACCTCTGGGGTGGAGGAGGGGAAGCAACCAACTAGCTCACAGCCCTGTGCACAATCTGTTGGGGGTGGAGGGCCTGAGGAATTATGGTAAGGACTTGCAGCAAACCCCCCCCCCCACCCCTAGCTAGACTGCAAACCCCTCACGACAGGGGCTGTGTGTCCTTTGTCTAACACCCCATAGACCAGTGTTTGTCCACAATAATGGGCTTGCTAGGGGTGCCACAAGATCGGGGGCAGGGGCTCCACATGGATTGGCCCTCAGACCCAAAGAGGCGTGTTCTGAACTCAGGTTGAAATAGCACATGGCAGCTCAGATGGCAGCTCAAGATCCAGTCCAGGCTCCATCTGCATCTGCTCAGCCCAGTCCAAAGCCCTCACTACGGTTTTCACCTGGTTCGCTAACCTGAGTTCAGAACGCACCTCTTCTGCTGCGAAGACAGACCCCAGGGACTCTGGCTCCGCCGTGCTCCGACCACAAGTAAAAACAGGGGGCTTCTTCCAGCCAGCCCTGTCAACTCCTAGATTTCAAGGCCAGAAGAGACCGGTGTGGTCATCTGCTCCGACCTCCTGCACGCATGGGCCGGAGGATTTCCCCCAGTGCTTCTTGCAATGAGCTCAGAACTCAGGGAGCCTGAGCGCGTCCTTTAGAAAGAGCCGACTGATCGCCAGTCAGAGATTCCAAGTGATGGAGGATCCACCATATCTCTTGGCACAGTTCCCTGGGGATTTTCCTTTCGGTACATCCCTGTTCCTGGAGGGTTTTAAGAACAGGTTGGACAAAAACCTGTCTAGGTTTACTTAGTCCTGGCTCAGCGCTGGGGGCTGGACTAGACAACCTCCCCGGGTCCCTTCCAGCCAGACATTTCTATGATTCTGTGATCGATGCTGCCTGTAACTGACAGCATGTGTACACGGCTACAGAACACCTGTGGCTGGCCCGGGTCAGCTGACTCGGGCTCACAGGGCCATCAAATTGCAGGAAATATTCCGGCTCAGGCTGAAGGGGTCTCAGAGCTCAGACTCCAGCCCAAACATCTATTCTGCAATTTTATAGACCCACAGCCCGAATCAGCGGTCCAAGGCCAGCTCCGGGTGTTTTACTGCAGTGTAGACGTAGAGGTCTGCAGGGCAAACCAGAGCCACGGCTGTCACTGTGATTACACAGGGGCGCCGACGGGAACTTAACAACCCATTCTGCTGATGCTGCACAAACAGGAAAAGCCTCCCATGTCCATTTGGGCAACTAATGTCTGCAAGGCACTTCGAAGGCCCCAGGCTGAGGTTCCAATGCAAGCGGGGTGCTGTGGGTACAAAGCAGCACCATGCAGGCACCCTGTAATCTCGCTGTTTTGGGGGATGCGTGGCCACTTCTGGAGGAGAATCTGCCTTCGGTCCCCAGGCTGGCTTTGGGGCCCAGCAGGCGAGGCGGCAGCACGAGAATGGGGGAGGGTGGGATTAAACTGGTGCCTCCCCGTCCCCTTACAGGGCTGGCTGGATTTCCAGAAGGGCAGCTGGCAGCCAGAGGGGCCCCAATTTTCAGACCCAGGCACTTTAACCAGTTTGTCTGCATCCTGCCATCTGGCACCAATGGCCATCCATGCATCCCGGTGGAGACGGGCGCCTCCCCAGGGGATAATCAGATGTCCTTCCAAGGCATCCGCACAGAAAACAGCCCCAAGGCTCACCTTTTACCCACCATCTCTTGTGCTGCCCCCCACCCCTGCAAGGGCGAGTTGCAGTTGGAGTCCATGTGGACACTGGGCTATCGTCCCCTGGCAGCCTGAGCTGAGCAATCTCCCCAGCTGGGGGGGGTCAGTGTGGGGGGAACACTCACTTGGGGAAGGCGTCAAAGCAGTATGTCTTCTTAGTGTCGGGGAAGGCGACTCTCATGCCCGAGGTGAGGGGCGAGTGCAGCACCACGGCGGCACACTCGTAGCGGGAGGCCAGGTCTACGGTGGGCACCGTGCCGATGCTCTGCCCGTACAGGATGATGTTCTCCGGGCTGATCCCATACCTGGGCAGGAAGGGAATCTGGGGGGTTAATTCCCAGGTGCTGTCCAGCTGGGGGAGACATCTCCCTGCAGCCCCAAAGGGAAATCCCAACACAACAGGTTGATGGCGAACAAGGAACTGTCCCGCCCAGGCCAGGAGATGGGCTGGAAGGTCCGACAGGCCTGGCTCCTATGACTCTCTGAGAGTGAGGGTCCCTGGGCAGAGGACACTAGGTGGTGGGATTCCCCCCAGCCCATCGGGGACCCCAGTACAGGGCAATGCAAAGGGCAGCCCAAGCCGGCTGTCTCCCTGCAGGCCACCTGGGCAAAAGGCAGGTTAACCACCCCCAACCACAGAGACCGAGTGACCCACCCACGCTCACACAGGCAGAGCTGGGCCATGCACCCCGGACTGCTGAGTCCCAGCCATGCAGCAGCCTGTTCCCATCCTTCCCAAGGAGCCGTTGCAGGGGGGCTCTGGGCTTCCCCCGAGAGCCGCAGCAGGGAGCTGAACCCTGCACAGCAGCGAAAACACCGACTCAGGCTTGTGGCACTGATTTGCCTCCTGGGGGGGGGTTGGGGGGGAACGTGGGGCCCCCCGCCCTTGGGCCTGATCCTACTCCTCCTAGCCTCTCCCCCCAACGCTATCAGCTGAAACAAACATCCATCCCCGGGCCAACCTACATGCACCGCAGAGGTTGCCATGGTGACTGGCTTATCCCCTCTGGGTTTCGGGCCTCGCCCCTTCCACAGGTGGCTGGCTCCCCCCCAGCCCAGATTCAATCGGACCAGCCTGAGGTGCCCCCCCCCTTGGTCCTGGGCACGCTAAGATCCTCGGGGCTGGGCTGCCCTGGGTCCTGATTCGTTCCCCACAGGGAACATGACTGAGTCCCGTGCAGGCCTGTGGGGCTGATGTAGGGCAGGGAAACCTGGGGGAGGCAGAGGAGGGGACGGCTGCTCCAGCGGGGGGCCCGGGCCCGGGGAGCTGCTGAGGGCAGGGGGGGTGGTGGAGGGAAGTGCTGGGAGCAGAAGCAGAGGCAGAAGCAAGGCAGGGAGGGCCCTGGGCAGGAGGGCGGCCCAGCCAGGAGCCAGCAGAGGGACTGTGGGGTGCAGGGGCCACTGACGGCTGGGAGGAGCCGTCGGGTCTGGGGGGCTCCATGTCTCATTGTCACCCACCCAGGATCAATTTAAGTAAGGCATCGAGCCGGCCCTGCAGCCCGAACTGCCCAGCACAGCCTCCCCAGCAGACGGCCGCAGCTACACGCCATCCCCCTGGCCTGCTCCAGGCCGCAGGGATTCTCTGGATCACGAGCCCTGTAGGGCGAGGATCGCTTATCCGCCTGGCTGTGACCTACTTCTGCACAACGCCGCGGGCAGAGGCAGGGCCGCGCGCAGGACCCAGGCAGACGCTGAGCAATTAGCAACGTCAGCGGCTCCAGTGTACATTTCCCCAGGGCGTTCGGTGCTGGGGGAAGATGCCGCATGCCGCGATGGCAGTTGTGGGGATAGAGGCTTCTGTTTACCCACAGCCTGGGCAACAACCGGGCAAACTACCTCCCCCCACATCCCCAGCTCTGGAAGGACACACCTCTCCGGTTGAATTACTAAGGCCCAGTCAGCCCCGCGGGGGCTTGGTCTTTCCCCCAGTTTGGATCCTTCCCTCTGGGTGAAATACAACTGAATTGCCAGTTGGTTTTCTCGGTGCCAGTGAAGGCATACACCTGCTCTGGAGAGGGATACTGGTACCGAGGGACTGGCCAATGAGCCCCCCACTCAGGGCTGCGAGCCTTGTCTAGACTAGTCATTTCTGCCTTGGGCTCAGCTTGAACCTGGAGAGGGAAGGCGGATTCTTTTGCTGAGTGCTCAGCCCCACCCTGTGGCTTCTCTCTTTTAACAGAGCCCAGCCCACGTCACCCAAACCGGAAGGCTCCCCACGGCACCGGGCGATGAGTCACCCCAGAGCGAAGCAGCTGGGTGGGCTGGGACTGTCTAGCACCACCACATAAATCGCGGCCTCCAGCCTCTCCCTCCTGCTTCCCCCTCTGCAGAGACGCCGGCCCCTGCCTGTGACTGCCCGGATGACAGGGCCAGCGGCTCTCCGAACAGGCACTAGGCAGCCAGAGGAGGGACAAGTGGCCTCCTCCGAAGACCACAGGAGGAACCCGCCTCCCTGCTCAGTAGCGGGAGTGTGGCCGAGTGGGTAGCGCAGCAGAGTGGGACTCAGAAGAGCTGGGTTCTGTTCCTAGTGCTGCCACTGAATGGCCTTGGGCAAGTCCCTACCCTGTGCCTCAGTTTCCCTGCCGGCCCTTTGTCTCTGTTGTCTAGCTAGGCTGTGCTCTGGGACTGGGACTGTCTCACTCGGTGTCTGCGCAGCACCTGGGACAATGGGCCCAGGTTTAGCTTGGCTCTAATACAACTAGTAATAAAGGGAACCTGCGTGGGGGGAGGGGAATGTGGTGCTCTCTAATGACATGCAGAAAAGGCCTGAAGCTTTATTTGTTTCCTGGTGTGGTTTGTCACATTGGGAACTCAGGCGTCCTGGCCCCGGTTAGACGCTGAGCAACAGCAGAGTCGACAGGGTTAGACACGGGCAGACCATGGCCCCCAGGGGAGTCCTGGTCAAGCGATTTCTACTCAGGCTGTTCACACCACTTCCCTTATTGCCTTATTTCCTGTAGGAGAAACACTCCCTGGAAAGAAGATTCAGTGATCCTGTCATCCAGTTCAAAGCTCCTGCTGCACATCCCAGAGTCACCCAAGGAGTGCTCCAGCTAAACCAGACCTGCTGCCCCCGCCAGACACAAAACTAGGTGGAACAAACCAAACCTTCCAGACCCGTTTCCTACCATATCAAAAAGGGCACAAACCTCCCCACAGCCCCTTGCTGGGCACTTCCAGGGCAGCCTCTGAGACTCCCAGCCACGCACCCGCCAGCCCCTGGCATCCAATCCACAAAGGCCCCCTTGGCGCCGATCGACGCGTGGCAGGAGAAAGCATCCGGGCCCGTCCCTTCGCGCTGAGTCAGCGGGGCTCATGCATCATGGTTGGTTCTCCAGGATGCTTCCTTCTGCCACCTGTCCCCCGTCCCTAACCATCACCTGCCCAAAAAGGAGGGGTTCAGCCTCTGGGGCCTGGGCAGCCCTTGGCCTCGTCGCTGAGGCTACTGAGGTGGTGGCCAGTGAAAGCAACCATCTCCACTGGCCGTGTCCCCTGGGAGCTGAGCTGGGACCCACCAGCCCCCTGCATGCTGGCAGCACCCAGCCCTGGACCACGGTCACACTGGCCACCCCAAGGGGAAGGCTCCGTCCCTACGGTTCCCCCGGAGCCTGCCCACCCACACCGTCCCGTGCATTAGCTCAGCCCTGCCCCCACCCCACCAGCGGCCTCCCCTGCGAGCCCCTTCCGAGTGGCTGTCTCGCCCGGTGAGGTTTCCTGTTTTCCACAGTGCAGGCCACGGGGCTTTCCTGGCCCTCCCCGCCCCCACGGCACTCTCTGTGGTGACCTCGAGCTGGGCTGCCTGCATCTCACTGTGGGTGACGGGTTCCCAGCCACCTAAAATGCTGAGCCACCAAATTGCTGTGTTCTGAGCCAGCTGGGCCTCCTCAGGGCGCCACTGATTTTGACGTTTTGATTCTGACCTTTTTGCTACAAACCATTTGCAGAAATTACGGTGAATTCGCAAAACGTTTTGGTCAATCTGAATCTGCCTCTTTCGCTGGAAAAAGTTTCAGTGGAAATATTTCCCCGGCTCTCCTTGCAGTATCTGTGGCTCGGGCCCGGAGAGGGAGAGTCACACACGTGCTACCAGTGGTCTCCTGCCGTGGCCTGGGTCGGGGGATGCTGGGATTAGGAGAGCTCTCCTCACCCTGTATTGTCTGGCCTCAGCCTCAGCCACTTGCCTTCACGCTGGTGTGGATCTAGGCTGACAAGAGAACTGGGGGACGGGGCTCCTTGTTGGTGGAGGGACAGAGCCGGGTGGCGGCCACGTGCTGCAGCCAGCATTGCCTTGCCAGATCCCCCAACAGCTTCATGTCGCAGGGCGAGAGGATGGAGCCTGGTGGGACTCCATAGAAACATGAGATCTCCCAGCAACACCGGACGGTTCATCCCAGTGGAGCGCTCCAGAGTTGGGAGTCAGGAGTCCCTGGGCGCCTCCCTTCACCTGGAACATGGCTCCCTATGCACATCTATCCACCCAAGCCTGGGTCCTCCCTGTTGAACAGATGGGGAAACTGAGGCACTGAAAGGCGGAAGTGACATGATCCATTGAGTTGGTGGCAGAGACAGAAAGAGAACCCAGGAGTCCTAGCTCTCTGAGGTTTAAGCCACAAGGCTGTCTCTCCTCTGTAGATAGCTGAGAAATCTGCCCATCTGCCCCAAAATACTCCCCCACTTTTAGCCCAACTCTCAGGCTTTGAAACCTGAACCTTCTTCCAGGTTCACAAAGGTGTGGTGGGTTCCCTCCTATCGCCCCCATTATTTCTGTGCCACGTCTGTGCTCCCTGGCTCCCTGCAGAGGGGCTCTGCAACCGCAGGGAAAGCTGCCCTCCGATACTGCGCACGCAGCTGGAAGCCCCAGAAATCTCACCCTACAGCTGTCCCGAAGGAGCAATCTGTCCCACCAGGTGACAGTCGTCCAGATCATAAATAACCCTTGGCCCTGCTCTAGCACATGACCTTCCATCTGAGGCTCTCAAACAACTTGACACACAATAAGCAAAACCCCTCATCACATCTTCTATGAGGCAAGTCAGTATCATTCTCCCTGTTCTACATATGGGGAAACTGAGGCATGGAGGGGAGACATGCCCAAAGTCACAGAGTGGGACTCAGATCTCCAAAGGCCTATCCACTGGGCCATGGTGCTTCTCTCAACCTTAACCTGCAGCCCTCCCCCTCCCATGCTCTTCTGGCCCTGAGCTCCACTCATGCCCCTCAAACCTGACCCACAGCTCCCAGGCTATGCCAGCCCTGGGATCCCCCCCAACTCTGCCGATGCCCTCCAGTCCTGACCTGCAGCCCCCTGCTATCTCGGCTGTGGGGGTCCTTCCTATCCACAGCTCTGTGATGCCCCTCAATCGCAGCCTGTAGCCCCTCTATGCCAGGCCTGGGGTCCCCAGGCACTGACTGCCTGAGCAGGACTCCGGGAAGGCCAGATCTTCCTGTACCCACTTCCCTTTACTCCCCCTCCCAAGCAGCCTTGGGCCTGTGAGGCCATTGGGGAGGCTAGCCGGCCCCAGGCAGAGCTCACCTCGTTCTCAGGGCCTGCCAGGCCGCATCGATGTCGGCGTAGAGATTCTTCTCCGAGGGCTTCCCCGTGCTCATGCCGTAGCCCGAGTAGTCGTAGGAGAAGATGTTGCAATTGATGCGGGTGCCCAGGCCGATGTAGAAGCTGCTCATCTGGCCCAGGTCCACAGCGTTGCCATGGGAGAAGAGCACCGTGAACCTGCCGGGGCAGAGCTGCGGGTTAATGCACAGAGAGGGGCAGCCGGAGGCCCTGGGCCATTGCTGAGCACTGCAGCCTTCTGCCAACTGTCCTGCCCCCACAGGGACCCAGCACAGGACTGGGGAGTCGCTGGGAGCGCCTCGCTAGCCAAGGGCTGGGGGAGCCACAGGAGGGGGAATGGGGGAGGGGAATTTGGGAGGGAAGAGGATGCAGGGGAGATCAGGGGGCACGGAGAAGCCTGGGGGGGGGGCAAAGGAGGGGGAGGTACAGGGGAAGGCCGGTGCCAATGTCATTCCAGAGGAGAACAGGATGGGAGGAGACGGGAGATGGAAAGGTAACTCCAGCAGAACGGAACCCAACCCCTCCCCAGCACCAGCCCCCTCCCCAACTTGACCACCCCCCAGCTCAGTCTAACTGACGTTCTTCCAGCCCCCCCGCCCCCCCCCGCCCGCGTGCTCCTAGTGGGAGGGGCAAGAGGCCGGAGGCTGCACGCCTCAGACGGCGCAGACCCAGTGAGGGCAGGGGGCTGGGCCCACCAAGCGCCCACCGAGAGCAACGACCTTCCACTGAAGCGAACAGCGAAGTCTCTCAAGCAGCCGCTGCCCCCCCTTCCCCGCTCCACCGCCCGCCGCCAGCAGAAGCAACAGCAGCAGGAACCGTTGTTACTGCCCCACAGGCCGGCCTCTGGGGCATGCCTGGTGTGGGCTCTGAAGACCTGCGGGCCGTGGTGATGAGTCTGACACTCTCCCCTCTGAGTTCACACCGGCCTGGCACCATGGTGTGGGCTAAGAAACACCACATTAGAGGGAGGGGAGTGGGTGACTCTTCCCACTGGTTGTTTGCAGTGTAGCTGTAGCCGCGTGGGTCCCAGGAGACCAGCGAGACAAGATGCGGGAGAAGGGACCAGCTTTTACTGGAACATTCCCACGTTAGCGTCAACTTCCTGGACACTATGATCAGCTTCCACAATGGAACCCTACAAGACAACCATATACAAGAAACCCCAGGATCTCCCCACCTACCTTCACAGATCCAATAACCGCCCCAAACACGCCAAGAAATCCGTTCTCTACAGCCTGGCACTCAGGCACCACAGAATGTGCTCCGAGGGGAAGGTCCGGGATACACACCTTAACACATTTAAACCCGCCTTCACCAAACTAGGACATGCCACCAGAGAAGTAGATTGCGTCATGGAACGGGCCACCCAAAACCCCAAGAGAACCTGCTTCAGGACAGAAATAAAACCCCCTCCAACAGCACACCCCTAGTTGTCACCCACCTCCTCATACTGGAATCCATACGGGGTATCATCTAACAACTACAACCCATACTCAATGGGGAGCCCATCCCGAAAGAAATCATTCCTGAACCCCCATTTCTGGCCTTCAACCCTCAACCTCTCCAAGCTCATCAGAAGCAAACTCTCCACAGGCCAGGACACACCAGCGCAAAGCGGCCCCAGACCCTGCCAGAACAACAGATTCAAAACCTGCAGACACATCTCCACCGCTACAACAATCAACACCCCCATCCCAACACACCTTTCCAGATCCATGGGTCCTCCATGTGCCTATAACAGCCCGTGGTATGCCTCATCCAGCACACTAAATGCCACAATAACAGCTGTGTGGGTGAAACCAGACAATCACTACGCTCTCGAATGAACTTACACAGGGAAATGATAAAAGCCAAACACACCCTATCACCCTGTGGGTAGACACTTTTCACAAAGCGATCACTCCACACCTGACTTGTCAGTCCTCGTCCTCAAAGGAAACCTGCACAATGCTTTCAAAAGACGAGCCTGGGAGCTTAAATTCATAACTTTGCTAGACACTAAAAATCACAAACTGCACGGAGACACTGGCTTTATGGCTGTTACAACAATCCGTAACCACTGACCCCCTCTTTTTGTCCTATGACTGTGGAGGTGTTAATGGACAACTCTGCCTTGAATGGCCCCTTACTTACAATATATGCTGCTACTCATGCTAAACAAACTGTTCCACCTTGCATTTTGCTGGTAGGACCTTTCCCAGACCTGAAGAAAAGCTCTGTGTGGCTGGAAAGCTTGCCTCTCTCACCAACGAAGCTGGTCCAGTAAGAAGCATTACTGTGCCCATCTTGTCTCTCTTTCCCCTGGGGCAGAGCTAACCTCAGTTACGTGCTCAGGCATGCTGTGCTGCGGGGTGTGGGGGCCTTCGTAAGATGGGGGGCACTCCTCCCTCTTCGGCGTGTTGTGAGCATCAAAGTGAGAATGCTGCTCAGAGCAAGGCCAGGGGATGTGACTCGGCCTTACTCTGAGGGGAGAGCAGATCTTCAAAGTGCACCAGGGAAAACCAGCTTCTGAGCAGTCCGCAGCCCAGGGGGAAAGGAGGGGCAGGGAGCCACATGCTCCTTGGATCCCAGCCGCCAGAGAGATCAGAGACCGAGCAGCTGGCACACGCGCCTTCAGCCAGACGGGGCCGGCGTATATGAGGCCGCCAAAATTGACAAGGCAGAGAGGCTTGGCTGGCGGCATCTGCAGCCAGACCAGGTGCTAACACACTTCGTCAGCTTAGAGGCAAAGAAATCCCCTGCAATCCCAGCCTGTCCTCATCATGTGCTAAATCCAGGCGCCTGCAAAGAACAGCGGGGGCAGGTCTGTGCTTAGATCAGCTCTTCATGGCACTCCTGGTTCGGCTGGCACGTTTGGAGGCAGAAATCCCACTCATGGGCAGTCAGTTCCTCTTTGCCAACCCCAGTCCCCCTCGCCCGGCCTGCTCGGTCGCCAGGTCCCAGCGTTGCCTGCAGGAGGACAGCCCCACAGGACAGACGTACGGCACCAGCAGACACATCCCAAAATCCGGGGCATGTGAGCCTGGATGCAAGGCGGGACGACCCCCCGCCAGAGCTGGTGTCTCCGACAGACGGCAGTGTGACCTCATGCCGGCCACGGAGAGCCTGAACTGCCCATCGGCGCCAACCGTGCCGGAGGATGGGACGGGAAGGGGGCTGGGCAGCAGGTGGCCTGGCTGGGAGTGCGGCCCCCAGAGCAGCCTCCAACCCCAGACCTCGGCCATGGCTTCTAACGGTCAGAAATGGACTACGCGAAAACCTCCCATTTCTGCTTTGCTCAGCTCTTCAATTCTTGTCCCCATCCCGCTCCCCCAGCTGCTGTCTTGGTATGGGCCAGCTGCTCTGGCTGACCCTCGGTATGAGCTGTCTGGCCATTGGTACAGTCTGGCTGACCCGTGGTATGGTACAGCTGACCTTTGGTACAATCCAGCTGGGGGGACCCTTGGTGTGATCTGGCTGAACCTTGGTATGGTCTGGCTGGGGGACCCTTGGTGTGATCTGGCTGGTCTGGCTGGCCCTTGGTACGGTCCAGGTGGGTATGGTCTGGGTGGGGAACCCTTGGTGTGATCTGGCTGACCCTTGGTACAATCTGGCTCGGTGACCTTTGGTATGGTCTGTCTGGGTGACCCTTGGATTCCAGGCTCTCTCACCCATGCCCCCTGCCCTGGTTCAGGCCTCACTCCCTATCACCTGGGTTGGTTCCTCCCCCGCGCCCCCCACCAGCAACTTAGGCCGGCCCAGCCGAATTCAGCTGTGCTCCAGGTGCCTCGGCCACGATGCCGTCTGCTCCTCTCAGCGACAGCTGTGGGCAGCATCTTCCGCTGGGCGGCAGGGAGAGCCCTTGACTTTCCCAGAGCCAACGTCAGGTGCCAAGGGGCAGGCTCCAGCTCGCCGCACCGGCCCTGCAGACCCTGCAGGCCACCACGCCAATGTAGATACACATCGCCCCACATGCACAGTGCGGGGACAGACACGTAATACACTGCACTTATCGCTGCCCTTTGCCCTCCTCACCTGCACTCTGGATCAAGCCCTGGGTTCAACTCCCAGCTTTGCCACTAGGCCTGACGGGAGTCCTTGAGCAAGTCACTTTCCTCTCTCTGTGCCTCAGTTTACCCATCTGTAAAATGGGACGAATGACACTGACCTCCTTTGTAAAGTGCTTTGACATCTCCTGAGGGAAAGTGCTGCGTACAAACTAGGGATTATTAACCAACCTGCCCCAAAGCTTATTCATTCCTCTGGAGCAGCCATACCCAAAATTATTCCACTGCTATACCCAATTTACGCTGGCCAGATGCCCATGATGGGTAAACTTGGGCCTACACCAGTTCCAGTTTAAGGTCTGACTGCTGTCACTATTGATGAGTTGTACTAAAGGAGCCCTTAGGGGTCCCCAAGTGAGATCAGGACTCTATCATACTAGGCACAGAACAGACACATAGTAAGAGACAGCCCCTGTGCCAAAAACTTGCAGCCTAAACAGAGGAGGCAGACAGATGGTGGGAGGGGAAAGGACTTGCCCAAGGTCATCCACAGGTCAGTGGCAGAGCCAGAAACACCCGGGTCTCCTGAGACCCAATATAGTGCTCTACCCACTAGGCAATGTTGCTTCAGCAGGTGTTTTATACTACGTGAAAATACAGCTCTCATTTCTCGCTTCAGAAGGGCCTAAAATCGTGCACATGAAAGCCACAATGCTTATGCACAGACAAACTATGTGAGGTTATTTTGGGGCGTGAGGGGATGTGGGTGTGTGTGTGGGGGGGGGGAAGGGTGTGACTGGCCCATTCTGAGCTGCACCGTAGTTAGACACAAGGACCAGGATTCAGAGGGGAACGGGGGAGGATGGGAAACAGCATTTAAAGTCAGGTCCTAATGCCTAAATGGGAAGCTGAGCTGCTTTTAAAAATCTTGGTCATGGTAGCAAAGGGCTTTTAGTCTAGACACACAGAAACTGGGCTGATTTAAGTCAATCGGTTTCTAAATAAATTTAGATCAAACAGCCCTCTGGTGCGGACACACTTAAATCGTGTTCGTGAGGGCCTCCTCCTGGGAAAAGCTTAATTTGGTTTGTTACCAGATTCAGAATCTACTTTAGCTAAAATCACTGTAGTTTCTCTGTGCTGAGCAGGGCCTCAGGGGCTGGGATTTACAGG